TTTTTTTAATTTTTATTTATTTATTATATGTAAGTACACTTACTGTAGCTATCTTCAGACACCCCACAAGAGGGCATCAGATATCATTGCAGATGGTTGTGAGTCACCATGTGGTTGCTGGGATTTGAACTCATGACCTCTGGAAGAGCAGTCAGTGCTCTTAAACACTGAGCCATCTCACCAGCCCACAGCACTTGCTCTCACACAGGACTTTGGTTCAAATCCATATGGTAGTTCGCCACCATCTGTAACTCCAGTTCTAGAGGAAAATCACTCTTCTGACCTCCTTTTACACCAGACATATGTGGTGCACATATTAACATGCAGGTAAAGATTCATTTACTTAAAAAAACAGTAACAACAACAACAAAACCAGTCAGACATAGTAGAGAACACCTACATTCTAGCACTCAAAAGCTAAGGTAGAAGAAGTAAGATCATTATAGGCTATATGGCATACTCCAAGCCAGCATGTACTACACAGTGATGCCAGCCTGCACTACACGCTAGGACCATGTCTTGAATTTATAACACAAGCCCAGCATGGTGGTACACACCTTCAATCCCAGGACTCAGAACAGAGTTAGGTGGATCTCTGTGAACTCATGGCCAGCCTGCTCTACATATCAAGTTCCAGGCTATTTAGAGCTACACAGAGAAACCTTGTCTCAAAATAAAACATCTCAGATATCTTTGTCTTGTTAGTAAGTTCTGCTTCAAAATAAACATGTTCACTTTCTACATTCTGACAAGGATAGTTAACTGTTAATGACCCAAGTTAGAGAACGGCTCAGCTAGTAAAGTGCTTACTAACATGCACAAAGCCCTGAGTTCCATCCCAGAACCACATAAATTGGGTGTGGCATATGTGCATATAATCCTAGCACTCAGGAAGTAAAGGACAATCAGGGGTTCAAGGCCATCTTCCATTACATAGTCTGAAGCCAGACAGTGTCTTTACCTGGCTTCAAATAAATAAGCAGCAAAAAAATAACCACTAAAAATTAGCAGGAACATCCTCCATTCCTTCCTGAGATGGCCGTGACTTTGGAATGACTGTGCTCTCTCTGCCTTTGTCTTGTTACCCAGTGTCACTCTCCCTTCTATCCACTTTACTGGTGGGACTCCAAATGTCATCCTATCCTTCTCAGATTCCTTCCAACGCTAAAGAAACGCTTTTCTCTGCATTCCCACTGCACCCTCTGTTATTTTATATCCTAAGACTTTTAACATGCTGTCCTGGGTCACTTGTCTGTCTCCTTCTCTGGACCACTAACAATTTGGAAATCAGGAAGCTAGAGATATGAGATATGGCTCTTTCAGAGGTCTTGAGTTCAATTTCCAGCAATCATGTGGTGGCTCACAACCATCTGTAATGGATCCAATGCCCTCTTCCAGTGTGTCTGAAGATAGCCACAGTGTACTCACATACATTAAAAAAAAAAAAAAAAAAAAAAAAAAGGTTGGAAAGTAAAGACAAAAATCTCTTTTAGCAAGGTGGGGTGACAGAGAAAGGATAGGTAGTGGGTGGTTTGAGAAAAAATCTTACAGGAATCCTCACCTCAGCTTCCCATTAGATTATAGGGGTGTGTCACTACCACTTGGCTTCATTCTTTCTTAGATCCCAGTGTTAAAAGTACATCAAACAATCAGAGATTATATACTGACCAAATATAATGAATTTTAAGTTAAAATACTTTCTGTGATTTTTCTCCTTATTTTTCTGAGACAGGGTTTCATACTATACCCCAGACAAGCTTCAAACTCATGATCCTCCTGCCTCAGTCACCCATGTACTGAAAATACAGGCATACATCTCCATCGCAGTCCTCATCTATGATTTTTGTAACATATTTTTCCTGATAAACAAAATGAATTTTAAGCTAGAATTAAAATTATTGGCATAGAAATCTTCTCTCCAGCTGATAGAAAAAAAATCCTACTTACTAATGGAAATAGAGAATTGAGGGTGGAGAGGTGGCTCAGTGGTTAAGAGCATTGGCTGCTCGTCCTGAGGATGAGTTCCCAACATCCGTATAGCAGCTCACAACCTTCTATAACTGTAGCTCCAGGTGACCCAACGCCTTCTGCCTTCCACAGGCACCAGACATATACACTGTACAGACACACATGCAGACAAAATATCCATACATATAAAAAATCTCTCTCTCTCTCTCTTTCATTTTGATTTTTTTTGTTTGTTTTTGGTTTTTCGAGACAGGGTTTCTCTGCATCGCACTCTGTAGACCAGGCTGGCCTCGAACTCAGAAATCCGCCTGCCTCTGCCTCCCAAGTGCTGGGATTAAAGGCGTGCGCCACCACCGCCCGGCTCATTTTGATTTTTTGAGACAGGGTTTCTCTCTGTAGCCCTGGCTATCCTGGAACTCACTCTGTAGACCATGCTAGACTCAAACTCAGACACCTGCCTGCCTCTATTTCCTAAGGTCTAGGATTAATGATATGTGGCACCATAGCCAGCTGACTTAAAAAAAAAAAAAAATCCAAAATCAACCCAGAAGTGGTCCTGCCAGTAGCTCCTGTCTTTGGTGCCCATGCGTATGGCTGGAGGACTGATGACTCCCACAATAATGTACTCTCTTTTCTCTGCCTTATTCTTTTAGCATTTTCCTTTCCTTCTCTTCCTTACTTTCTGTCTTTTCTACTGTATTATATTCTCATCTTTCCCTTTAAGTTCCCTCTACACACCCACACACATGCCTTACTATTTGGGTATCTGTGAGCATCATTATATCCAACTGGGAGTACTTGGGGCAAGAACGTAAGGCAAGACATGTTTCTAAGCTGTACAAATTTTCTTTATTTGGGGGTGGGGTGCAGAGTGGTAGGAGTCAAATCCAGGGCCTTGGCACACCAGCCCAGGACTCTCCCACTGAGCTACATGCCCCAGCCCTACTGTAATCATTTTACTCATGTCTATGTGTATGTTCAAGTACCACATGGATATTAGTACCCACAGACAGAATGATAGGCAGTTGCAACATGCCCATGGATGACAGGGCAGTCAGCAGGCATGCTTAATTTTTGAGCCATCTCTCCAGCCCTTATTATTTATTTATTTATTTGGCCAGATGTGGTAGCATATACCTCTCTCCAGAGGCAGAGGCAGGCGGATCTCTAAGTTCAAAGTCAGCCTGATCTACACAGTGAAACCCTATCTAAAAATATACAAAAGAGAGGCTAGAGAAATGGATCAGTGGCTAAGAGTACTTTCAGGCTGGAGAGATGGCTCAAAGGTTAAGAGCACTGACTGCTCTTCCAGAGGTCCTGAGTTCAATACCCAGCAACCACACAGTGGCTTACAACCATCTGTAATGGGATCCAATGGCCTCTTCTGATGTGCCTGCCCTCTTCTGATGTGTCTGAAGACAGCTACAATGTACTCATATACATAAAATAAATAAATAAAGCTTTAAAAAAAAAAAAAGTACTTTGGGCTCATATAGAGGATGTAAGTTCAGTTCCCAGCACCTACAGTGGGTAGCTCACAGCCTCCTTTAACCCCAGCTCCAGGAGATCCAACACACACTCTGTCTTCTGCCAAGTACTGCACACACACATGTCATATACATACAGACAAATAAGCATATGCATATACACAAAAAAATAGTAATAATAAATTTTCAGTTATTTAGGTAACACAGAGATGGCTCAGTGGTTAGTAACTCAGAGGACCTGAGTTGGAGTCCCAGCAACCAACATCGATCAGCACACAACGGCCTATATCTCCAGCTCCTGGTAATCCAGCAACTTACTCTTCTGGCATCTGTGGGCACTGCACTGGTGTGTACAAATCCACACAGATACACGTATAGACACATAATTAAAGCTTTTAAAAACATTTTTTAAAGTAATTTTATTTGTATGTGGGGTATATGTACATGAATGTTATTGTAAACAAAAATGAAATAAGGAATAAAGAGATGTTTCAGTGTTTAAAAACACTTGTTGTTCTATCAGAAGACCAGAGTTTGGACCCAGTGGCCACTGTGAGAGGCTCATAAAAATCTGTAACATCAGCTACAGGAGATCTAACACCCTGTTTTGGCCTCTACAAACACTGGAACATATGTGAGAATACTTTCACACACACACAAACATGTACATATACAAATAAATGTGGGGTTTTTTTTCAAGGGGGGGGTAGTTAAGACAGGGTTTCTCTATGTATATGTCCCAGAACTTACTCTGTAGACCAGGCTGGCCTCAAACTCAGAGATCCACTTATCTCTGCCTTCCAAGTGCTAGGATTAAAGGCGTGCACCACCACTGCCCAGCTACAAAAAAAAAAAAAAAGTTCAAACAAATAAAAGTGGATGTTACATACTAGCACAGGCTTTTAATCCCAGCATCATGGAGGCAAAAGCAGATGGATATCTGTGAGTTAATGGCCAGTCTGGTCTACACAGCAAGTTCTAGGCCAGCCAGAACTACATAATTCGACCCTGTCTATCTCAAAAATAAGTAAGAGATAAATAAGAAACCAGTTTAGTGAGATTCTACCACTTAAGAGACAAAGGTATGAATACTGTAATTCTGAGCCAGACAGAACTACATAGACCTTATCTCAAAACAACAATAAAAAAAAAAATAACACTAACAAAAGAAAAGGTGGACAGGGCAGTAGTGTCGCACAATTTTAATCCTAGCACTTGGGAGGCAGAGGCAGGTGGACTTCTGAGTTCGAGGCCAGCCTGGTCTACAGAGTGAGTTCCAGGACAGCCAGGGCTACACAGAGAAACTATGTCTTGAAAAACGAAAAAACAAAAAAACAAAAAAAAAAAAAGAAAGAAAGAAAGAAAGAAAGAAAGAAAGAAAGAAAGAAAGAAAGAAGAAAAGGTGGATAAAACTGAAGGGTGAAAAGAAAAGGTTGAAACTGTGTTTTTAGAATAAAACAAAACACTGCATACTACATTCAACTTACAAACTTTAGGCCTGATTCACCTTCCCAGTTCCCAGCCTTGTTAAGCCCCTTAACCAACCTGTGGTCACTTGAATTTGAGAAGAGTCACAGATGAGTTATAATGGACCATCTACTCCACTGTTCCATTATCTCAGTAGCTTCAAGGGCTGCTCCTCAGAACATGGGAGTGTGGGTCTAAGGGGAGTAAAGAATTTGCTCATTTTTGAGGTAAAAATGAATCCTCCTCCAAAAGGATAAACAAAATCATCAAACAATATCACATCCAAGATAAAATTAGAAAAGAGATTAGTTGGCCTTTTGTTTTACATATGGGAACACCGACGTGCAGACAGTGGGATTATATAAGTCTCACAGCTAATGAATCCCAGAGGTAAGACAGAGCCTCAGACTCTAAAGACCAGAGCCCTCTTTGCTGAATCACAGGATCACCCAAGGCTCCTGTAGCCTGCAGGACATATGTTAAAACCTGATAGATCACTGTACAACTTCACAGCAAAATATGGGCCTCTGAAAGGAAAATAGTATTCTGGAAGAAGAAAAACAGGGAAGCAGAATGTTGGGAGACCTAGTAAAGGGAAAGCTTCCCTGAAGAAGAACACTAAGTCCTAGAGGTATTCAGGTAAAAAAAAAAAATCAGGGGGATGGAAAGATGGCTCATCACATGAGTCCTGGCGAATCTTCCAGAAGAACTCAGGTTAATTCCCAGTACCTGTGAGCACAACAGCTTGCAGGCATCTGTAACTCTAGTTCCAGGGGTTCTACATCCTTTTCTGGCCTTGTTGGGCATTTCACATACAGGGTACAGCTACACACATATAGGCAAAACATTCACATAAAATAAAAATATTAAAAATAACTTAAAAAAAAGAGGAAATCAGTGGTCTACAGAGTGAGTTCCAGGACAGCCAGGGCTATACAGAGAAACCCTGTCTCGAAAAACCAAAAAAAAAAAAAAAGAGGAAATCAGAAAATATTTCATGAAAAAAAGAAAGACTTTAAATAAGTAGACTTCAACAAAAAGCCAAATTGGGGGCGGTGGTGGCGCATGCCTTTAATCCCAGCACTTGGGAGGCAGAGGCAGGAGGATTTCTGAGTTTGAGGCCAGCCTGGTCTACAGAGTGAGTTCCAAGACAGCCAGGGCTATACAGAGAAACCCTGTCTTGGGGGGGTAAAAACAAACAAACAAAAAAAGAAAAGCCTAATTGGGTCAGAAAATGTTTAACTGTATATTATATGTGGTTTTCAAATAAAATTTTTTATGTATGGGTGTTTTTGTTTGAATGTACGTCTGTGTGTCACTTACGTGCCTGTGCCTGGTTCCTCCCGAGGCCAGAAGAAGGCGTCCAATATCCTAAAACTGAAGTTAAGAGATAATTGTGAACCACCAACTGGGTTATAAGAATCAAATGCAGGTACTTTAGAAGAGGCACTCTTAACTGCTAAGCCATGTCTCCAGGCCCAGGTAATAGTTTTTTTTTTTTTTTTTTTTTTTTTGGTTTTTTTCAAGACAGGGTTTCTCTGAGTAGCCCTGGCTGTCCTGGAACTCACTCTGTAGACCAGGCTAGCCTCGAACTCTCGAACTCAGAAATCCGCCTGCCTCTGCCTCCCAAGTGGTGGGATTAAAGGCGTGCGCCACCACCACCCGGCCGGTAATAGTTTTAAAGTTGGTAAATTAATAAAACCAGAATTTTCTTAATCAGGACACTCTCTGATTATATCTAATTTCATCTTTGTGTTATCTGATTTTGTTTTTGTTTGTTTCCTTTGTCCTTTAGAGATACAAGCTATGGCTGGCCTGGAATTCACTATGTAAGCCAGACTAGCCTCAAACTCAGAAATCTACTTGCCTCTGTCACTGCCTCCAGAGTGCTGGGATTAAGGATATATACCACCAGTCTATTACCAAAAGTCTACTACATGACTTTTTAGTACTTACAAATATTTTAAATGCCTTAGTCTACTGTGTCACTATGCAAGAAGAGGCACCTATCAAAACCAATATGTAGTTTAGGGGTTCAACATATAGCTTCTGAATTCAAATGGCCTATACTCAAGTCTTTTATCTCTGAAAAATATAAATATCACCATTTATTTCATGTTCTGAAAAGATTAAATATGTACATCTGTCATGACCTGTGTATGGACATTTAATTAATTATAATGGCTCCTGTTTACTTTGAGAATAAAGAAATGAGCAGAAATTTCTAGAGTATATTTCAAGTAGCAATTTTCTTTTATGATAATTTTGTTAAAAATGTGTGTGTGTGCAAATGTATGAGTCATTTAAATTTCTTTTTTTTTTTAAAGATTTATTTATTTATTATATATGAATACAGTGTAGCTGTCTTCAGACACACCAGAAGAGGGCGTCAGATCTCATTACAGATGGTTGTGAGCCACCATGTGGTTGCTGGGATTTGAACTCAGGACCTCTGGAAGTGCAGTCACTGCTCTTAACCACTGAGCCATCTCTCCAGCCCGTCATTTAAATTTCTTATAATATTTTCCTTTCTAAAGTGTGAGAAGCTTTGAATTAAAAGCACCTAACAATGCTCTGAACAGTGCATAGCACACACTGAGCTCTGCATGCTGAGATTGTCATTGCTGCTACTGTGTATCTACTAAAGCTGTGTACAGAGTTAAGATAATGTTAATTTGAAAAGTTTGACAGGGGCTGGAGAGGTGGCTCAGAGGTTAAGAACACTGCTCTTCCAGAGGACCTGAGTAAGTTCAATTCTCAGCAACCACATGGTGGCTTACAACCATCTGTAATGGGATCTGATGCCCTCTTCTGGTATATCAGTGACAGTGTGCTCACATACATAAAATAAATAAGTAAATCTTAAAAAAGAAAAAAGAAAATATAAAAGTTTGACACATGATCTAAATGTAATTTCAATCAGAAAGCTCTTCTATCCCTGACACCCACACAGTCAAAGCCACTTCAGCACGTCTGTCGCGTTGCCCACTGCCTACATTATGTTGAAGAGTCCGCAGATAATAATTTATCTAATACTCCTCCATGCTCTGTCAATATTTCAGAGAAATGGAGGAGTGGAGCTAGGTAAAATAGCTTATTTTATCTGCTTAAAGAACTGGGATGGAGGCCGGGCGGTGGTGGCGCACGCCTTTAATCCCAGCACTCGGGAGGCAGAGGCAGGCGGATTTCTGAGTTCGAGGCCAGCCTGGTCTACAGAGTGAGTTCCAGGACAGCCCGGGCTATACAGAGAAACCCTGTCTCGAAAAACCAAAAAAAAAAAAAAAAAGAACTGGGATGGAGAAGCCAGAAATCCATGCTATGAGTAACTGAGGAAAGCGAGTCATACTGGAGACTGCTTGTCGCCTTGGAGCCAGGAGGAGGAAAATGTGCCAGATGAGGCCAGATTAACAGATGCTTGAACCTTTGGGCTAGATTGAATCACTTCCACTTCCTGTCCTCATCCAGAGGTTTTGTAAAATATTTGAGCCTAAATAAATGTCACTATCAGGAATAACTGGAAGGCACTGAACATACAAACAGGAGCAATGGGTTTTCTGAGTGGCCCCTCTTACAGATGACAAGCTCTCATGAAGCATTTAAACTTTTTGTTTGTTTTTGTTCTTTTGTTTAACAAGGTCTCACTGTGTAGGCCTGGGTGGCCTCAAATTCTCAGAAATCCACCTGTTTCTGTTTTCCCAGTGCTGGGACTAAAAGTGTTTCCTACCATGTCGTCAACATTTAAATTCTAAAATCCTGCCAGTGTTGGCACATGCCTGCAATTCCAATATTTGAGAGACTGAGACAGGAGGATCCAGAGTTCAGTGCACGATGGGCTACATAGTGACTTTGCACCGAAAAACACAGGAACATGTCTTAGTGGTAGGCAGTTTGGCCTAAAAAGTGGGAAATCCTATGTCTGATGACCAGCTCTGCAAAATTAAATTCTAAAACTCTGATTTAAATAAAAATCTGCAAAAGGTGCTCACCAGTAGGGAAATCAGAAGATATAGATTCCATTCTGTGTAACCTTGGGTCAGTCACTTCATCTCTCTGGGTTTGTCTTGCTCTGTTGGGGGAAAAAAAGAGAAATAAGTACTCATTTCACTTCAGGGAATTTTCTATAAAAAAAAAAATCACATTGCATATGATATTTAGAATGGAATCTGGTGTGGCAAATTCATAACCACAATCTGTTTCTCTTGACTATAAAAGTAGACATAATTGTGAACTTGTGGATCACTGGACAGTTCAATAACGAGACACAGCCATTCTATGGCTTATTAGCCATAACAATCTTTAATCAGTTACACCACAATCTGTACAACGTCTAAGAAAACAGATTTCTAGATGCTTGGGTGTTTGGTTAGATACTGCACACAGGCACACACACACACAGTCACACCTGCCTGCCATTACTCAATTTTAAAAGAACTCGTGGTGGGCCATATTAGTTATTCTCACGCCCAACAAGGGAGGTAGGCATTATCCTTCTGCCAAAAACAAACAAAAAAAATAACAACAACAAAGAACCCTTTCAAGTAGCTTGCCGTTTCATCCTAAGGGAAATTCTGAGAAAGATAAAATGCACGTTCTAGAGCTTTCAGACCCACCCCAATTTCTCGATGGCAACACGTGTCGCCATTTTGTTGGGAAACATGGCTGCCAGCCCTCCCCGCTCTGGGAGGGAGCAAGGGGGGCGGAGGAACGCCACGTTAGCCCTTTCTGTGAAGTATTAAACACGTTCACACGACCTCCTCTAGGCTGACTATGGCGGCCGCACAAGGAGCAGGCAAAGAAAGCACAAGCCGCTCTCCAGCGTTTCGACCGATGGCCATTTCCTGGCGGGAGGGCTCAGTCAGGAAGACCTCCCAAGATGGCGGCCGCGCCGAAGGTCGGCCGCCTACAGAGAGCGTGGCCTAGACGGCTTGCGAGCCAGCGCGGACGTGTGGGGCCATGCCGGCACCCCATCACTGCTCCTCTAAAGTTTCAGAAACTCTCGTGGGAGATAAAACACAAGAGCAGGAGGTGGGGTTTCTGAGGGCTTCACAAACAGAAGCCAACAAAATGCAAACAAAGCATTATGTAAATGGCGCCATTCTTCTAGCGGCCCGAGTTCCTAACACGTCCCCAAAACACCGTAAGCCCGAGCGGCACTTGGGGGGTGGGTGACTCTCTTTCTGCGTAGCGGACGCAGCCACCGGACTGAGGCCAAGGTGGGGGCTGGTACGAGGCGCCCGGACGCCGGGGACGAAGGGGCCCCACGTGCCATCAGAGCGCGTGCACGGCCACCAGGCCGCGCCTCGCCGCCTCGCCGCCCCTCCCCCCCGGAAGACACCGCGGGCCTCGCCTGCCCCCCTTCCTCCCGCGCATGCGCCCTGGTCATCTCACGCGCACGTTTTAAACCCGCGGCTTCCTAGGTACCGCCTGCAGTGGCCTCTGCGGCTGCCTGTATCGCTCCGCCATCGAACCCTTCGGCGGGGCGGGAAAATATTATCTATCTCCGTCACAAAATAGTAGTTTCCCCAGTCCTCTGCCGGAGCCTCTAGAGTTAACAAAACACGTGCTACCTCTCAATCACTGCCGGATTCCCAGGTTTGCCCACGTCGTACTTTTTCTCCCCTCTCCTGGTGCCACAGGGTTATTTTTCTCAAGTATCGCGCGCGCTGGCGCAGTCTTGTGACCTAAAAAAGCCGGTCCTCTTTTTTTTCCTAGGGGTCCTGCGCGGAAAGCACTTCCGGGGTCAGAGGGTACGCGGGGTTGAAAGCGGGCTTCCCGCCCCGCCCAGACCGCCGAGGCTGCCGCCGGAGTCGCCACCGCCGCGCCCTCGCCCACCCGCCCGTCCGCCGCTCCCGGCCCCGCTCGCCCCCGCCGCTGCTGCCGCTCGTCCTGCGACGCCGCCGCGGCCTCCCGCCCGCGCCCGCCCGCCTCCCGCGGCCCCCGCTCGCCTCGCGCCGGCAGTTCGGGCCTACTCCTCCCCTCCCCCGCCAGCCGCCCAGGACTTGACCACGTAACGAGCCCAACTCCCGAACGCCGCCCGCCGCTCGCCATGGACGCCGGTGTGACTGAAAGCGGACTCAACGTGACTCTCACCATTCGGCTGCTGATGCACGGAAAGGAAGTAGGCAGCATCATCGGGAAGAAAGGGGAGTCGGTGAAGAGGATCCGCGAGGAGAGCGGCGCGCGGATCAACATCTCGGAGGGGAACTGCCCGGAGAGAATCATCACGCTGACTGGGCCCACCAATGCCATCTTTAAGGCCTTCGCCATGATCATCGACAAGCTGGAGGAAGATATCAACAGCTCCATGACCAACAGTACGGCCGCCAGTAGGCCCCCGGTCACCCTTCGACTGGTGGTGCCCGCCACCCAGTGTGGCTCCCTGATCGGCAAGGGCGGCTGCAAGATCAAGGAGATCCGCGAGAGCACGGGGGCCCAGGTCCAGGTGGCGGGGGATATGCTGCCCAACTCGACCGAGCGGGCTATCACTATCGCCGGCGTGCCGCAGTCGGTCACCGAGTGTGTTAAGCAGATCTGCCTGGTCATGCTGGAGACGCTCTCCCAGTCTCCACAAGGGAGAGTCATGACCATCCCGTACCAGCCCATGCCGGCCAGCTCGCCAGTCATCTGCGCGGGCGGCCAAGATCGCTGCAGCGACGCGGCGGGCTACCCCCACGCCACCCACGACCTGGAGGGACCACCTCTAGACGCCTACTCGATTCAAGGACAACACACCATTTCTCCGCTGGATCTGGCCAAGCTGAACCAGGTGGCAAGACAACAGTCTCACTTTGCCATGATGCACGGCGGGACGGGATTCGCCGGAATTGACTCCAGCTCTCCAGAGGTGAAAGGCTATTGGGCAAGTTTGGATGCATCTACTCAAACCACCCATGAACTCACCATTCCAAATAACTTAATCGGCTGCATAATCGGGCGCCAGGGCGCCAACATCAATGAGATCCGCCAGATGTCTGGGGCCCAGATCAAAATTGCCAACCCGGTGGAAGGCTCTTCTGGAAGGCAGGTCACTATTACTGGCTCGGCTGCCAGTATTAGCCTGGCTCAGTATCTAATCAATGCCAGGCTTTCCTCTGAGAAGGGCATGGGGTGCAGCTAGAACAGTGCAGGTTCGCTCGTAACCCCCTTCTGCTGTTTTCCCATGATCCAACTGTGTAATTTCTGGTCAGTGATTCCAGGTTTTAAATAATTTGTAAGTGTTCAGTTTCTACACTTTATCATCCGCTAAGAATTTAAAGAAAAAAATCACATTCTCTGTTCAGCTGTTAATGCTGGGATCCATATTTAGTTTTATAAGCTTTTCCCTGTTTTTAGTTTCGTTTGGGTTTTTTGGCTCATGGATTTTATTTTCTGTTTGTCGATAAGAAATGTAAGAGTGGAATGTTAATAAATTTCAGTTTAGTTCTGTAATGTCAAGAATTTAAGAATTAAAAAAATGGATTGGTTAAAAATGCTTCGTATTTGAAAGCTGGGAATTACTATCTTAAATTCTTCGGTTGCTGCTTTCTTTCCCCCTTCCCTTCCCCTTTTTAAGTATGGGGTGCTTGGAGGCCAGAGGGAGAAGGGTGGGCCGCCCTTGTTCTTTGCGAGCTTTCCTTGCTTTATCGCTAAGATTCCACTCGCTCTGCCCCAACAAAGAAACGGCAGGTTGGGCCTGCTTTGGGATGTTTACAAAAGACGGGGTCTCTTCCTGGGAGTGACATCTCCAACTGAGTTCCAGAGAGAGGCTTCTTTGGTAGGAAATACAGGGTTTTCTCAGGTGGAAAAACTGCCCATTCAGTAGGACAGGATGAATGGAGAGCATCCTGTCCACCTCGCCAGTTGTTCCCCTGCCCCCATCCCGCAGGGAAAACTTAGCCAGGAACAATAAAATATTCTGGGGGAAGGGTTGTGGGAGGGGGCAGGGACTAGGAGGAAGGGGAAGCACGGGTGGGAAGGAGGGCCACAGCTGCAGGGTGGTGGGGATTGGAGGGTCTGAAGTCTGGGATGACCCAACAGGAGGACCACGTGGGGAGCCATGCACCTGTGGCAAGTAGCCTGTCAGAATGTACACCTGTCAAGTGAGGTGCCCAGAAACAAAAGGGTATTTTTGTGATTTTCCTCAGCTGTGTGCAGTAGTTAATTACTGCAGGGAATAAGCCTGCCTAAGTGGGACAGTCCTCCCCGGAATGTGGACCAAGCCAGGGTGTTAAAATGGTAGACTCCTGAGTCGCGCTACACACTGAGCCAGAAAATTGCATCTTTAACACACATTAGGAAATCTCTTGAGTTTTTCTTCAGCTTGAGAACAGCCGTGGCAATGCCTAGTAACCAAGTGCCCATCAGCTGAGTCTATGCTGGATGTAAGGACAAAAATTTCTACAGGCCGCTCTAGACCCAATAGTAAGACAATAGACAATTAAGTGCCAGAGTGGGCAGTTCAAACTCAGGCAAAGGAATCCCTGGTGGGGGGTGGAGTTATCACAATAAACATTTGTTGATGCTTCTCTGCAGGATGGGAGGTGGGGTGGGGTGCAGGCCTCTTTCTGAGGGTCCCTAGAAGTGAGATTTTACAATCACTGCTATGTTGCTGAGGAGCCCAGGTTATAAAACAGACTTGGTTCTGTCTCGTGGCCTTGAGCACTGAAAACTGAAGGTGTTACAGGAGGGACACACTCTCTAAACTTGGGACAAAAAGCAGTTTTAGAACACAACCAGATTGAAGAGGGTCTACTAGGAGCAGAGATTGCCTAGAATATATGGACAGAGAAAACCTGATAGGGACAAAATGATGTATATTAGCCAGGTGTGGTGATGTATAAGTTTAATTCTAGCACTCAGGAGGTAGAGGCAAGCAGAGCCCTGAGTTTGAGGCCCCTATGTTGTGAATCCAGACCAGTCAGGGGTACACAGACTCTGTCTCCAAAAAGAGGGGGGAAAAAGTATATTTTTATTATACAAAATATAAAAATTTGAAGCCAGCCATGTTTACAGACCATGGGTTTGGAGATAGCAAGGGCCACACAGAGAAACCTTGTCTGAAAAAACAAAAATTGATGTGTACTTGAATTTGACTGAGTGACCTGGAGGGACATGAGGCCAGTGAGGACCTAGTACAGTGTCTTCTGGAAACTGAGTGTTAATCAGGGCAAGTGGACAACACACTTGAGTCCTCAAACACAGCCAGACAAGCTAGAGCCTGGCTAGAGTCCCTGGGAGAGGGCAGTGGCTCAGATGTACTATGGGCAAGCACTCAAACAAGCCCTCCTCCCCACGTGCCTAGTCATTCTGGGATAATTTGAGCAGTAAAACACAGGACGGCTCCCACCTAGGAGAAATGAAAGGCAGGAGCAGCCACTAAAAAGCCATCCAAGGAAAGAGGTTCTACTACAGTCTACTACAGGCTGAGAAGTGGCATCAACCAGAATACACACTGGGGACCGTTAAGATAGACATAAGGAGAACAATGTAGCCCAGATTTGGTGACAGATTTGTACACAGGCCGAAATATCCTACCAATAACTAGAAATGAAGTCACAGCTAGCAGGTAAATACAGACCAAGGGCAGGTGCCATTTTAATGAGGGA